ACATGGTCTGCGGTTCGATCTCCGGCCAGTGACGCACCCTTTACTTCGCTGAGCCAGAAATAATGCTGGTAAAGAGGAAAAGTTGGGCATGAGGCTAGCAACCCCATCCTGTAAAATAAACGCTGCTACAGAAACGTTAAGCCATTAGCTTGAAGCCCTATGTTCCACTGGGGAACGTGAAGGAAAAAAAATTACTAATAATAAGTCGGAATAGTATGAATGGAAAATCTGATAGTATTTGGAGATAAAGTGAAGGGTATAAACTATAAATGATTGTGCCTAAAACTGCTAGGGTTAAGATGAAACAAAGTAAAAACTATGAACAATGCAAAAGAAAAAGAGATAGTTGGAAAAGGCACTCATGGAGAGGAGAAGACACTTCTAATCCAAGGTTGGCCAAGGTAATAACCACTCGTAAATGTATACTTTTTCAATAAAAATTTCCTGTTTAGTCGGTCTTATTGAAACAGTCTCAGCTATATGTAGAAGGCAAAGGTGAACTGTGCGTGAATTCAGTGTGTTCCTTTCATATATTTGTTCTTCTTCAAGAATCTGAATAAAGCAAGAACAACAGCGGTTTGTGCAGAATAGTATGGTACCATCATTTATTTCGTTGGCTTCTCAACATCTGCTTACATGCTAAGTAAATTATTAAGTTTATGTACAGAGAAGTTTTAACTTACTTGCAATTTTTTCTTCATAATGTCAATTGACAGGAGGTTCTGGAGTTATTGCATAACTCCTTTACCATTGAATGCATACGTTTACTTTGTTTAAATTTGAAGTGCCTGTGTAAAAACTATGTAAGCGTAATTTTTCGAGTACTGTTCACCAATTCCAGAACCTCCTATCAACTGACGTCATGTAGAATTTGCAAGTATGTTAGAACTTTTCTGTGTATGAAATTAATACCAGTTTATTTAGGCTGTAAGCAGCTGATGAAAAGATAAAGAAATAAATGATGGTATCATGCTATTCTGCACAAACCACTGTTGTTCTTGCTTTATTGAAATTCAGTATGTGCTATATAACCATGAAAGCTATTTAAGATTCGATATGATATCCAGTACCGACTAAATGAGATAGAATTATACGTTTTATACATTTGGTTTCTTTCTTGCTGAATCAAGCTGGTAAACATTCTCGAATCCGTTGGTGAAACACCCTAGTTGTATGCCTTATATAACTTGAAAGACGGGAACAAGTGAAACAATATATTCGTGAGAAAGTGCTAAGCTCAAGTAAGACGTCTTTCAGTTTCGGATTGAGCACTGGACGGCTAATGGAGGATTTGTCAATTTCCCTTCCTCACATTGTATAAATAATCACTGAAATCACTTTGCATTTCATATTTTTTTTGTAACTGCATTCAGCCAAAGCCGTTTGTCAAACAAACACTGTTTATTTCGTCCTCCTGTAGCCACTGATTTGTTATTCTGCGTCAAAAACGCATCCTCCACATAACTTGGCATTATTGTTACAATAAAGATTATATGTTATAACCGTAAGAACCTAGAGAAAAGAATTTATGGAGAAGAAAGAACACTCTACATTCAGACAGACTTTTAAAAACTATTGCTTTCAATGAGTAGTTGCCGGCTATTAATAACGTCAGTCAGTAGTACATGAATAGTATAGATCGTTTTCTGACAAACAACAGGCTTACCGGAGTTGACAAGCAACCAAGAAAAATATAGATCTGTAGGATACCTAGAAGGTATAAGGAAGGAACAAGAATGTTTAGTCTAAATTACTACTGTAACGCAATCGAAAATGAATAATAACAATAACTGATACACTGGCAAGACATTCCAGTTTGTTTATTCACCTGAAACACTGTCTCTCACTCTCTCTCTCTTTCTTTCTCTCTTCATTGGTAACAGGTGTTAGTTAGTCAACAACACTCGTAAGAAAAACACCTGTAAAAATTTATTAGAATAACAGACAAATAAATAAAATTAAGAACAAAATAACAATAATAATAACAATTTATTGAATGTAACAGATTTCGCTTGATTGTCATAAAAAACTTTTAAACTATTTTATTCATTTTCATGATAATGTATAATTATGAACAGATGTGCTTTAAAAGGATAAAGGCATGAGGATGGAGACGAAAGGGATGATCATGAAATCATCTACACCTGGAATCAGATATTATTTTATTGGCAATCAAAATTAATAAAGTATATTTCAAAGACTTAGTTTATTGTCTTCTGATTCATTTCAAGTTTGATCAGAAAATGATGTCAGTTAGAGAACCATAATAAAAAACTAGGGAGTAATGGGTAGCTGTTTAGCCTCAGTTCAGGACTCTTCAGTGGCACTCAACCACTTCATCATCAGGGATCGAACCTGAAGTCTTCAAGCTATCAAGTCAAGCTTGTTGATCATTAGGTCAATGAGGTCAGAAGTCAGTGACCCGTGAAGTCTAACTTCTGTCGACTCTCGATTTTGGTGCATCGCCAACCAAAGTCATAGGCAAGTATTTGTCCTTACAGCTGATCTAATATAATTCCACTTGAAAAAATTAGTGTATGTTTTTTATGTTTGAAGAAAGTTGTTAAAGAGCCTTTGACTGAGGTTTCATATTCACTAACACTCATCAGCGAGACGTATCTCCATCCTTCATAGGACATAGTGTCCCGTCAACTGTATTCAAACTTGAATAGCCCAGTAAAGCAGTTGAAAATATTATCACTAAGCCAGTAAAGCCCACGATTATCCCCATGTAGGACTGTGCAATGTGTACATTAGAGGAGTATTCACTTTCATACCTCTGGTTCATAGGCTCACATAAATTTTTGTTCGAACTTTTTAAACTCAGCTTTCAGCGAAATCCAATGGAACTGACGACAATAGTTATCGTAGGCCGGCTATTGCGTCCTAGTCTGGTAGTTTTCAGTAATGTGCACTCACAATCTTGCCAGTGATTGAATTCAGGATCTCCAAGTAACAGGGAGATCTTCTCAACAATTCAACCATTGGGTTGGATTTCAATAACTCAATAATTCGTGATATAGCGCTACGGCCAGTCGTCGCCATCGATAGGTATTGTCTTCACACCCTATATGATTGACGGTATGAGTTACAACCTTTCACTAAAACTTCGGGACATCCATTTTGTAGCCATCACTTACTACGAAATTTATTTCTAAGGTTTCAGCTTAGCTTGCCTGTGGATTTTTTTTTATGAAGAAGATATTTTTTAGTACCATGGGCTTTAACTTTATTTTACTTTTCAAATTATCAGCTAGTGACGAAATTCAGGTACATAAGTACATAAGTTTTAGTCTCAGTTTATGTACATTCTTCATCGATCAGTATCTAATATAATATTGTTTATTACCTGCAAAGACGGATATGCATTTTATATTTCCCTTCATTACACTGCCACCAACTGAGCTATTAATATAGCCTTTATTTATTATTATTTTACTTCTTTGCATTCTGAGTATAACATAGGGGGGGGGGGCATGTTTGAGCTTCAAAGTCTCAGTGGCAGAGGTGTTTCTTCTTCATGGAGTGTGGTTGTTGGCCTTACCTCTAACCTTACCTCTTCACTGGGCTTAATACCAGCTAGGTGAGATTCACGAATTTATCGGCTGGGAGTCGAATTCTGGACCAGGTTAGGCTTGTCTGGTGAATATTTTACCACTGAATTATGGGCACAAACAAAAGTAACACTGAGATTAATAATTTAGCAGCAGACATGAGACAAAAAGCAACTGAAACCAAGAAGTATGTATGCTAAATTTTCAATCCGATATAAATGCGGTCTGCTGATCTACCAAATTGATATGAGGTTCAAAACAGATGTACTTTGAGTGATAGAACTGAGAATTACTGCAAGTTCTATTTGCTTTAAAAATATTCTGTTTACATGGAAAGATATAGTGCAATTTAAAATTACCACTTGTATATTCAGTTAGGAACAGACTAAGCTTCTTGTGATCTGAGCTATGCTTTAATATTAATTATTAAGATGGGTGATGGACAGACTAAATCAGATATCGTGTTAATAATCCCACCATTTGTCTGACAAGGTATCACAGTCGAAGCAACATGTTTTCAAGTATTTATGTTACTTCGCAACACTGATAGTGCAAATAAAACAAATACCCAAGTGTCGACTTGTAGCGATATGCCTGATCTCCAAGACAGATCTCACCACAAACGCATATCATTTAGATGATGACGGCATCAGATAGCTGTTTCGTATTAGTCTAAAACCCCTCAGCAGAGCCTGTCTACGATTACGCTAAGAATCCAACCCTCGATTTTCAGGTTAACAAACGAATTCGTTCGCCGTCCAGACAGCGAGTACACATCCAATGACCTATGAATTCCTAACCATATATTAGCTACCTTCGTTTTCATTATCTGAGGGCTATTGAATGATAACATCGATACCATTAAGCTCCATTTTTCAAAAATCCAACTAAATATCAAAATCGATTCAACTAAATCACATATTTTCTGGTTTTATGTATTTACTTGTTACGATTTTTTTTGAGTACGTTATATAACTTATGGCAAAACTAACTTTCTGTGGTTGAGTGGGCACAGAGGAGTAGGTCAGTTAGGCTCTGAATTTTTTCCAGGTAGTTGACCTTATTTGATTATGGAGGAATGCTTCAATCATACCAGGTGTTTTATCGACTATCTTTTTACACAGCTGGAATATATGTTGAAATGCTTTAGCTATTTTATGCGCGTAAACACCTTGCGACTGCTTTTATCTTGTGCTGTATATCGCGAATTGACAGAAGTTGGGATTCGTGACCGATTAGGTCAGGTCCCAGTGGATAAGTGGTCTACGAGTTAACCTTGTGACAAGGGGTTCTGGGGTCGAAATCCGGTATCCATGTACTACTGAAATGTCCCAAACTCGGACGAAACAGCTGCCCGGTTATCTCTGGTTTTCCACTGGTTTTCTAACTGATACCAGCTTGCGATCAAACTTGTAACCATTTTCTCTTTGTTTATTCTCATTTCAGCCTCATGCGATTTTGCAAAAATTTCAAATGGTCCAACTTTTCAGCTGAACCGTCAGAAAAGTAAAAAAATGCAGAAAGAAGAAAAAAAGATGCACAAGTTAATTGACCGCAATATGTACAAATTAGACTAAGAGGATTATCATATTTTGTCTGTTATGTTGTTTAATGTCTCTTCCTGCATTTCCAGTCAATTTGAAATCCCATTTTATTTCAATGTGTTTTTTGATTTTCAATGTCCAATTGTTCATATGTTTTGTTTTTCCAAGCGAAAACGAAATGATAATGAATAGTTATCATTAATTGTATTGTTAATGTTTTGCTGTTGATATCATGATTACTGAAATGCTTTTTGTAAATAAATGTGAATGAATTTCACTTTTCACTTCTTTATGTAGTAGAAGAGCTTTTGTGAAGTTGTACGTATTCCTTTTTGAAGTTTGTTAAGAAGGCTTTCGTTTTATAAAATCAATACTACACTGGTCCGCATTAGTCACGTCACAAAAGCATACTTAATGCTACGTAATGGGACTTTAGAGAACAGTTTTGAATAGAGAGGGGAATCTAAAAGATAAAACTGGACGAATATGTGAAAGATATTCAACCATGTCAAAAAACTATAGCCCAAATAGCCAGAACATATATCTTTTGTGGAAGTCTGTGAGCTACACACTTAGTTTTTGAGGATCAGTGATGACGTATGTGGGGTGCAGCTCACACCCGGGACTAGTAAAATCGATGAACCACACCTCCACCATCCCACAGATTCTTCAATTATCTATTCTTGATAACTCTAGGACCAAAACCAGTTAGGCCAGTCCCCTTCTAGGTTTCATGGAGTAACTGTCAATGAATTAAGTGACTGGTGTTACGTTTTTGTCCGATCATCTGCTATTTAGACTATTGGTCTTTTATAGGGATTTGGATAAATTTCATCGTAGATTTGGCTGCAAACCAACTTCAGCTACAGATAAGTGAAAACCCAGAGAGCACAAGACGTCTATTCAATCCTAGCTTGAGTCCTGAAGCTGTATTAAGAAGTTATAACCAGTCTGGTCATTCTTGTAAAGGTGGAGTGGATGTTTGTCGAAACCACTGGTTGAGAGTAACGCTATATCACAGAGTGATAGACTTAGTATTTACGGGCGACTGAACTCCAGCCCAAGTGGTCAACGAGCTTGCCCTGGTAACCTGAAGTTTCAGGGTGCGATCAGTGAAGAGGTCGTGGGTGAGCACTGATGAGAAGTCCCGAAACAGCACAAAGCAGCTCTCCACTATTTCCAGGTTTTCAATGATCTCTAACTGATGCTGGTTCTTAACGAAATCTATATCGGGATCAATAACTTAAGCTTGATCTATAAATAGTTAGAAAGGGTAGTAGATTTTAACACTTAAATCATTTGCTTTACTTGAAGTTATGTTTTGACCATATTATTTTGACCTAAAGATATATATATGTACAGAATATTTAAGAAGAATAGGAACGCAATACTTTTAAACACAGATAAAAGAGTCATTGAGATATTGATCAGTCTTATAACAATGTCTAGTATAAGCATGTTTCTAACAGAAATCAAAATTCTGTATTAAATAGTAGTATCATAGTCAAAGCTTTTAGCTGTTATTATACAAACGAGTATTTCGTCAGTAAACTAGAGAATATATTTCTATAAATGCGTTCATATGATGAATACTTTTAAGTAATTGAGGCGAAACCATGAAAATAATAAATAGGATTATTTGTTATGTTTTACTCACAAAACCATGTATCAGTAGTATGCGTTAAATGGTGGGAAAAAGGTACAGTAGTAAACAATCGATACATAAAGTTACTAGAAGATTAAATCAATCCATGAACTGATTTATAAGTGACAATCAATTTCATCATTTAATATTCAGTGACAGTAGAAATCTATTATTGACAAACACAATCGAATCGCTAAAATACAAAGATATATCTTTTTTGTACATTTTAATACCTTTCATCTTGAATGTAAATATTATTATTATTGTTCCCTTGAGTCCCTAGTGGAACATAGGGCTTCAGCTGCACTTCTCCACCTTCTTCTGTCTTCTGCTGTACTTTTCACCTCCATCCATGTTGGTCCACACTGTTTCAACTCCTCTTCACACGATCTCCTCCATGTCACCCTTGCACTGACAACCCACTCGCCACTCCCCTTTCGGGTTCCACTTGAGGGCTTGACGCGCGATGTCACCCAGCGGTCTCCTCAGCGAGTATCCGATACATCTCCACTTTCTCCTGCATATTTGTTGGACGACTGGTTCTTGTTTTGTTTGTTCACATAGTTCCTTGTTGGTGATTCTTTCCGGCCCGGCCATCTGATCTTCAGTATAGAGCGAAGACAGTTGTTGATAAAGGTCTGCAATAGGCTGTTGGAAATATTCTTCGTGACCCGCCCGCCAAGTTTCTCATCCGTACAGAAGAACTGACTGACTTGACATTTGTATTGCAAATCCGACCGAATTTTGTTGTTGATGGTCAGTAACGGAGATTTCCAGATTGGTTTCAGGTTGATGAATGTGTTTCTCGCCTTCCTGATCCTCGCTCGATTTGACATCCTCGTCCGTTCCGACTGCATGTAGTTGAGACAATGCTCCCTAGATGATAAGTGAATGAAGTAACATCTTTCAAACCCCTCCCGTTGATGGTGATTGGCGCTGGATGTTGTTGCTACCTGTTGTTGCTGGTTGGTTATTTTCATAACCTCTGTCGTGTCTATGTTCACCTGGAGTTCTGTCTTCGCTGGCTGCTTCTTTGACCAGTTTGTCGGTTTTCGCTTGTCAGTCTTCAATTTTGTGTGACATCAAACATAAATCATCCACGCGCGAAATCCAGGTCTTCTAGGTTCTTCACATCGGTCCAGGATATACCTGTCTTCTCGTTTCCCCCTGTCTGATGTATAATTCAGTCCACCACAACGCAAATACTAGGAGTTTGTATTTTTCACAGCTTATCAGTGATGTGGATTTTCAAAACATTTGAAAGATTTTTAGTCAGTGAAGATTAATTGTTGCACCTTTCTGGCAAGCTATTCCCACATTTTATGAGAATAACTGGCATGCTTACAATCAGCGTAACAAAATCTTTCGGAATAAGGTTTTTCTCATATTTTCGCTTTCCGAGCGGAACATAGAACTTCAAGCTGGAGCTTTGAAGCCTAACTAGCGGTAATTTCGTTCGTTTTGTGGGTAGAGTTGCTAGCCTCACGCCAAAAACCCCCCTCCTCTACCTGGTATGCTACTGGTTAGGCAAATTTGTAGAAGTATATTAGGCGGAAATCGAGCCCGAACCATGTAGATAATCGGTGAACACTCTACTACTGAACCATCAACTGAACAGTTAACATACGGATATAATACAAAAAAGCTAAGAAGAAAAAAGAGAAAGAAGTCGGTTGAAACTAAACTAAGATAAAAGAACAAGTTTTTGGTTTCACAAACGACATTAAATACAATGCGATGATTGCTTGGGTTTAATAGACTCAGCTGAAACTCATCTACTCACCTAAGAAATTTAATTCACACTCTACAGGCTGGCCATAAGAGGTAGCACAAGAGAAAGTAATCTAAAAATTTAAGTAAAAATAAGTGAATTTCTTTTTGACTGGAATTCTGCAAATAGACAGCCGGATATATATCGCTACCATTGCAAACTCTTTTTTTTTGATAGAGATGATTAACCAAACTTATGGCCATTCCTCTAGAAACCAGCATAATGTAGAGAAAAAAATTCTTTTCGATAACTTCTCCATCAGGTCCTAGAGTTATAAATCCATGACAGAAATAAGGTTCTATCTTAATGGACATGTACCAAACAACCTTGGATTAACAGTAGTAAATAGTTTGAACTCGTCAATTACCGAACACTCGTTAGACAGAAGAAACTGAGTGGACTCACCAGAAGCACTTGAAATAATTAACCAACAAAGCAGTTCAATTCTTTTTCAATTTTCTGAAGCTATGACAAGAAAATGACCGAAGCCTGATCTATGTATTAAAAGGAATCTTTTGTGAGAATTCACTTTCCATGGTAAATCTCTCCTAAGTAACTTACTGTCCTCTGATTTCATTACTTTGTCCCATCCAACCCCCTCCCAGTTTTTCGCCTGAATTTTTTAAGTTGGGCTTAATTTTTCATCACTTAATGCATCACGCCATCAACTTTTCATTTGACTTCTTATAAATCAAGTTCTGATTTTTTTAATTTCATGAGCTCTAAGCAATATATTTTATCATCTCTAATAAGGCAGTTATCATTGACTTATCACCACCCTAACAAAAGATTCACTTCTCCAGAGAAAATCACCGCTTATAAAATTTGTGTATATCCTAATAATTTTGAGATAACTTTATCATTTTTGTTTTAAGTCACTATGACTTTCCTTAAATAATCCATTCTGGAAGACTGATTCATGATGATTAACAAAAAGTTACTTATTTTTGATTGAACACCAGTCAGTAACTAGCGTAATGTGTCTAGTTCTATCTTCAGTGCAGACTGAATTCTATCAGTCAAGCTTGCATTGTGGCAGATCGCCTCCAACCATCTTATACCAACAATTCACAGTGCACCGTGATAGCGAGCCACCTGGCATGGTGGCCACATTGCAAGCTTGACTGGTAGAGTTCAGTTTGCACCGAAGATAGGATTAGACGCACACATTACACTAGTTACTGACTAGTGTTCAATCAAGAATATCCAGTACAGTACTACAGATGGCCAATCGCGAGTCCGAATAGCTCAGTGGTACCGTCTTTGACTGCGGGTAGCACTGGGTGACGCGGGTTCGAATCTCAGAAGGGACATGAGTTCCTTCAAGGTTATACATAAGCCTCGCTGAGTCTTGAGTGCCACTAAGCACGAAACCTAGGTCACGCCGGGCTTCCTGCTGACCGCCTCCAACCATCCAATGCCAAAACGCTGGTTATTTTGGTATTGTTGTGTCCTCTGAACTGGATAGCTTATTTGAAATACTTTCATTGCCCTACTAGGCAAAATCTTCAGCCCATAATTCAATTTGATGAAGTGAGCTTTTAGATTTC